AAAAAAAACCTCTCCAAAAAAAAAGAAAAAAAAGTTATTATGCAGCTAGAATAATGAGGATACTGTGGTATGGCATAAGGACAGAAATATAGATAAATGGGACAGAATGAACAGTCTAGAGGTACACCCTTACATTTATGATCAATCAATGAAGGTGCTAATCATTCAGTGGGGGAAAAGAATAATCTTCAACAAATTGTGTTGGGGCATTAACTATCCACATGTAAAAGATGAAGCTAAACCCTATCTCACAACATACACAAAAATTAACTCCAAAAGGATCATAAATGTTGGGACCAGCAGGTGGCGTGGTGGTTAAGGTGCTGGACACTCCCACATGGCTGACTAGGGTTCAAGTCCTGAATCTGGTGGCTTGTCTTCTCACTTCCTCTCTCTCTCATTCTCACCCTCTGTCTCTCTCTGCTCAAACTAAAAAATAAATGAATGAATACATAAAATAAATAATTATAAAAAAAAAAAGGATCATAAATGTTAAGTGCAAGAGCTAAAACTAAAACTCCTAGAAAGAAAACTGTAGAAGTAAATCTTTATGACACTGGATTAGGCAGTAGTTTCTCAGGTATAATACTAGTGGCAAAAGCAACAAAAGAAAAAAATGATAGATTGGATGCCATCAAAACAATAACCTTTAGGGACAGACACCATGGCCAAATGCTTAATGGAGCTGGATTCACATGGCCAACCTGCAGGGTTCAAATTTGGCCTCAGGGGCTTGAAAAACACCCCAGGGGGCCAGCAAGTGGCATGGTGGTTGAGGTCCTGGATCCCACATGGCTAACCGTGGTTCGAGTCCTGGACCTGGCAGTGCTTGCTCGCTCTCTGGTGAGCACATGTGCTAAGTAACAAAATTAAAATAATAATGATGATAATAATAAATGAAATTAAGTAAATAATCATTTTTTTTTAATGAAAGGAAAAGAAAAACATGCTTGTCCAAAATCCCAACAGGGTGGAGAAATGAAAAAGGGATCACAGGGACCAGCAGTTAGCATAATGGCTATGGCGCTGGACTCCCATGTAGTCGACCGTAGTTCATGTCCCGGACCTGGTGGCTTAAATCTCACACCGGGCGTGTGTGTGTGCGTGCCCAAGATCCCAAGAGGAGAACGGAGGAGAAGGGATTGAGGCCATCTCCCCTGGTGAATGATTTCTCGCTTTCTATCTCTGTCTCTCTCTGTCCGTCTGGCAAACGCACGTGCCCTATAGCAAAAACCTCTCCAAAAAAAAAAAAAAAAAGAAGGGATTACAACATTACCACATCCCAGTTGGGGGTGCTGTCTCCTTGCTTTCTCTCCAGCAAGCACCTGTGCTCTATGGCAAATTACTAAAAAATTAAAATCTTATGTAACTAAAATATATGTAAACTCTTACTATCAAAGAATAAAAAGACAACCAATTTAAAAAATAATGAGCCAAGGGACCAGGCAGTGGTGCAGAGATTAGCATGACTACACATGGAAATGTGCTGGGTTCATGTCCCAGATTCCTCTGTGCATGTTAGGGTTGTGCATGCTCAGCCATGACATAGGTTAGCTGGGACTGGGGGTGGATCACAGTGTGAGGACCCTGTTGAGTGTGTCTGTTCATCTGTCTCTCTCTCTGAACAAATAAATAAACTCAGAAACAAAAGGAGACAAGGATTTGAAAAGGCGTTTCACCAAAGAGAATATGCAAATGGTTAATAAGGACATGAACAGATGCTGAGTATCATTCGTCCTTAGTGTACAAATGGCCAATAAGCACATAAACATACATAACATCATTAGCCCTTAGGGAAATGCATTATCAAAACCACAGTGAGATACTACTACATACTTGCTAGATGGCTACAGACTATCAACTGTCTGCAATTCTCAGGCATAGAATAACTGGAAACCTTAGACACTGCTGCTGGAAATGTAAAACAGTGCAGCTGCTATGGAAAACTGGCAATTCCTCAAAAGGTTAAATAGAGAAATACCTAGGCATATACCCAAGAGAACTGAAAACACATTGTTCAAACAAAAATCTACATTAACATTCATAATGGCATTAAGTATAATAACCAAAATGTACAATCAACCCAACAACCCATCCATCAAAAGATGAATAAACAAAATATGGCATAGCCACACAATGGTTATTATTCAGTCACCAAGAGGTAGCAAATGTTGAGTAAAATATGGATAAACCCTAGGGACCAGCAGTTAGCATAATGGCTATGTCACTGAACTCCCATGTAGTCGACTGCGCTTCCAGTCCCAGACCCAGTGGCTTAAACTCACGTCGGGCGCGTGTGCATGTGTGCCCAAGATCCCAAGAGGAGATTGGAGGAGAAGGGATTGCAGCGTGGCCATCCTCTCTGGGGGGTGATTTCTCGCTTTCTATCTCTCTGTCTCTCTGGCGAGCACACGCGCCCTATAGCAAAAACCTCTCCCCCCCAAAAAAATATATGGATGAACCCTAAAAATGTTACAATGCCAAATACAAAAGGCCGCATATTAGATGATTCCATACAAAATGTCCAGAATAGGGAAATCCATAGAGACATAAAATAGGTAATAGTTTCAAAACGAGAGGACAGAAGAATGTGAAGTGACTGGTGACAATACAGGCGTTATTTGGGGATAAAGTGTTGAAGGACCAGCAGATGGTATGATGGTTTCATCACTGGACTCCCCATGTTGTTGGCTGTGGTTCGAGTCCCAGACTCAGTGGCTTAAAACTCCCAGCGGGCGCGTGTGCATGTGTGCCCAAGATCCCAAGAGGAGAATGGAGAAAGGGAATTGTGGCATGGCCATCCTCCCTGAGGGGTGATTTCTCACTTTCTGCCTCTCTGTATCTCTGGTGAGAGCACACAGACGATAGCAAATATCTCTCAAAAAAAAAAAGAAAAAAGAAAAAGAAAGTGTTGGAAGACTGTGGTACTCACTGGAAAACCTTGTGAAAATGCGTAAAACTTTAATTGTACACTTTAAAAACGCCACTGGATTTCTTCATTCTTTCATTTCTGAGGATTGGGGTCAACCTCTGTGCTTTTCTTATTTATTTTTGTTTTAAAGAGAGATGGGGGGGTGACAAATCACAACCCTGGGGATGCCAATACTGCAATCCCTTCTCCTCCAATCTCTTCTAGAGATTCTGGGCTCACATGAATATGTGCCTGGCATGATAATCAAGCTACCAGGCCTGGAGCTTGAACTACCCATCTGTGGGATCTGCTACCTTAACCTCTACATCACCTGCTGGCCCATCTTTGTGCTTTTCTAAACCACACTCTGGTAAAGGCCTAAAAAAGCCTTTCGTCCAAATTATAAATTATTTATACAGGGGACCAGCAGATGGTGTAATAATTATGTCACTGGTCTCTGACCTGGCCTATCACAGTACAAGTCTCAGACCTGGCAGCTTGAAACTCACACCGGATGTGGGTGTGTGCATGCCTAAAATCCCAAGAAGAGAATGGAGGAGAAGGGATTGCAACATGGTCATCCCCTCTAGGGGGTAATTTCTTGCTCTCTGTCTCTCCGGTGAGCACATGCACCCTACAGCAAAAAATCTAATGACGACAACAACAAAATTATTTATATAATTTACAAATAATTTAGTTTTAAATTGCCAAAAGGCAAGAGTGGGCCTGAAAGCATCTCAAATAGGGTGTGGTCACATTGCAATACCTTCTCTTCCATCTCTCCACCATGCTTGGATTTTCTTTTGTTTCTAAAGAATTCTTTTATTTATCTTTATTTATTTTAATTTGACCAGAGAATAACAGAGCCAGAGCGAGCAAGCAAGCCAGAGAGGAAATGAGAAAGCAAGCCGCCAGGTCTGGGACTTGAACCATTGTTGGCCATGTACACACACTCCACGCACTCTCAGGATTCAAATCATGCAGTCAGTCATGTGGGACTCTAGCTACTTTAACCATTAGGCTGTTTGGCTGGCCCAAAAATGGCCTTTTACCCAGTATACTCCAGGGAGGCCTTTCAAGTGGGCAGATGAATCTCAGGGCTGTCAGTCTGAGTAATACTCATCTCTCAGCATGCTCCTCGTACATACTGACTTGGCATTCCCACTCAACAATTACAATTTGTTATAAGCATAAATTACATAAACTGTCCAATTTTATTTAAATATCTATTTATTATACGTACATATATTCCCAGTTTTTTCAACAAGACCACGAAATCTCCAGAAAAGACCCAAGTCTGAGGCACTACCTCCCCCTACGCATTATTTCTGTCCCATGTGGTCCTTTGTTTCAAGGGTTGAGGCTACCTTGTCACCGTAAGTGTGGGGTTTACGATCCACTTCCATTGCTCACTTCGCTATGTGGAATTGGGCACGTTGTTTAAACTGTGCCTCAGTTTCCTCATTTCTAAAATGGGGCTAACAACACCTGCCCATTAGCGCGTAGCAAAAACAAAATGCTGGCGAGGCGCTGAACACAGCACCCGGCGGCATGAAGCAGTTATCCCCACACACTGCCCTGCGCCACATCATCTTCCTCTGTATGTGCACCTTGAATAATAGAAACTTAAAATCTACACCAAAATACTGTCGAGTCGATAAAAGGCAAAACACCAAAACGCCTAGCACACATCAGGGGCTCAAGAAAAACAAACAAAAAGTTCCTTTTTCCCCGTCTCCGGGGCCGAGGCTCTTTCTTCAGCATCGCCCGACAGCACCCGCACCAGCACCTCGGAACAGCTTCCAGGCACATCCAGGGACCGACGCCAACCCGCAGCCCCACAGCAGGGAGCCATGTTTCCCAGGCAAGAAAACGAAAGGGGGCCCAAGGGGTAAAGAGTAAACCATCGCTGGCGTCAGACACTGTCCCCCTGCCCGGCCAGCCCGCACAAAGACAGCACTCAACACCGGGGTAGTGCGTCCCGGCTCTCCGCGCCCCCGGCCCGCAGTCCAGCTAGAGGGCAGGTGGGGCTCCCGGCCCGAGGCCGCAGAGCACCCGGATGTGAGGGGGACCCGGGGTCGAGCCTCACCTTCGCCCGCTTGCGCCGGCTGGTCCGCCCCCCCCCCCGCGGCTCTGC